AATACTTGTTTTTGTACATAGAAATTGCACAATTTAATTGCTGTAAATAACATTTAAAGACTGCTACCCAGATTGATGAAATCTGTTCGGCAGCTATGAGAGAGCGAGAGGCAAACAGCTGGCGATCACATTTCGTCAGTCCTTTTGTGCTCCTCGTTACTCATACAGCCTAGTATCCAGATCGACAAAAACCGTACGCCAGTCATGAGAGAGCGAGAGGCAAACAGCTGGCTTTTACTTTTCGTCGGGCCTTTTTGTCAAAAATACCAGAAAATTGCATAGCGTTGCCAATCTGCGGAAATGAACTTTGGGTGAACCCTAGCGAAAAGATTAAAAAATTTAATCTTTTGGCGTGCGCTTCTCACTGACCATTATAAGATATGGAGGGAAAAACTCAAAAACTCGGAAATGTCGATTGCTGGAGTTTACATGTGAGGACAAAATAACATTAATACTATCTGGGGTGCCTCTTGTCAGAGCAAAATGTTTTTTAGGTCAAGAATGTACGAAAAAACACAATAAAAGTGCAGCTATGAACTTTAAATTAGCATATTTATTTAAATTTAAATTGTTTTGTTTCTTAATTTCTTTGTACAGCGGCAGACTTGTCTTGCCAAGGTATTTGATAATATCTTTTAAAGGCTCCTTCCCGCAAATGCGATATTTGAATTTTAACTGCTTGTCAAGAAACCCAGCTGATTGACAGTACGACCGTTGCACGCTTAAATCTGATGATCTCTCGAAATTTTGGCAACACTGGAAAGATTAAAGTTTTTACGCTAGCATACTCGTTTGTCGATCTGAGTACTAGGCTTAAGCCCAATGTGGACAGGATAATCGTTAGTTGACTCGATAGGCAAATAGGGGGCAGTGTGTAGAGCACATTAATAGATTCTAACTCGATGGTCCAGCTGAGGATAACTTATATTTCCTAGAAAGATTTTCAAGTTTTCTCCGTAAACCTTTCCAGGAAAAGGTTTAATCCAGCTTTTCTATGTTCTTGGCCATTATATTTATTTTTAAAAGTAGTTATATAAAGTTGTACAAGACTGTGTGAAATAGCTTAAGACAAAAACTTTGTCATTAACGGTAGAAGGTAATTGTTTCTATTTCTAACTTTATTATGTTCAATTATATACATTTTTCAGCTCTCTAGTATATACTTCATGATTGGGTATTATGTGAATCTACTGACAGCAAGCAATAATATCGTACTGCAGTGGAAAATACCCTTAATGAGAATCGATTTAAAAACTTCATTTTAATCGATAGGAGGCGGCTTTCCTTAACTATTTTAACAATATATAAAAGTTTGAATATTATTATGGACATTGAATTGCCGTATGTAGTGGAATATGCCAAAAGTGGGAGAGCCTCTTGTAAAGGATGCAAATGTTCGATTCCCAAAAATAACCTTCGCATCGCTGTTATGGTTCAAGTAAGTTTCTATAGTGGCAGGCATATCTCAGCGTAATCAAGTAAGATTAAAAACAAACTCTACTGAATTTACGCGGGTTTTTAGTTAAAATTTGTTTGATCTCCGTATTGGCACAACCATATCTACACAAACATGCATACCCATGAAATATACTTTTACAGTGGACAAAAAGTTTAAGTACACTTCATACCTCAGTGCTTTTTGTAAAAAATATGTATTGAGACTTATCAAAATAATAATAATTAATAAACGTAATCTTTAGGATTTTGAATATACCAATATACACTCACTCGCATATCTCTGCGTACACCCCAAAAAAATTTCAAAATCTAACTTTGAACATTAATTGTTCGGCCATTTATGCATGTATTTTATTCATTCTTTTTTTAAACAAAACTATGGTTTATTGTCTTCATTGACGTAGAAATATTAGAAATATTCATCAGGGGGGTTATATTTTATTTTTAATTTTAAACCTAACACTACGAAAAAGTGTACGCGCAAAAGTCTGCGTACAGCAGTTTTCAACTTCGAGGAATGCAGGATTGTGCGATTTCCGTTAATTTTGTTGTCGCCGATCTACTTTAGAATGTCTAAAAATAGACATTACGCAGTTAAAATGAAACTTTTTCATTATAATAACGAGCATATTGCAACATGGAACAAAAAGGCAAGGAAATTTCTGTTGAGGAGTGGAAAATTATATTAAAAGGTTTTTGGATGGAAAATCTTATAGAGAAATTGTTGCTTTAGTTGGTAGAACCCACTCATCCATCCAAAGAGTGATAGATAACTACAACTCGGCTGGAAGTATCTTGCCAAAGGCTCGTTCTGGCCCGTCCGCTCTTGCTTATAATCCGCGAGCAGAGGAATATTATCAAATCTATTCAGCTCAACCCAAGGACGACAGCTCACCAGGCAAAGCTGAAGGTCGAGGATATATTTTCCAAAAGAGTTTCCGAAGATACTGTACGCCGGACCATAAAAAAGGCTGACTACCATAGCAGAGTCGCCCGCAAAAACCTCTCATATCGGAAGTCAATAGACATAAGCGCCTAACCTTTACTAATGAGTATATTTCCAAACACCAAGACTTCTGGAATAAAATTATATTTCCCGACGAAACTAAATTCTGCATATTTGGAATCAAGGGAAAGGTTTTGGTATGGAGGAAAAGCGGAGAAGCCTCAAATTAAGAAAATTTGGTTGGCACAGTAAAGCAAGGAGGAAGCGGAATAATGGTGTGGGGGTGAATGGCAGCAAGTGGCGTTGGAAAATTGGTATTTATCGAGTTAATAATGGATCAGAAAATCTATATTGACATATTAAAAAACAATTTAAAAGAAAGTGCTGAAAAATTAGGGCTCGAAAGTGAATGTTGGTTCCAACAAGACAACGACCCGAAGCATACGGCGCAGAATACCAAGCTTTGGCTGCTGTATAACGTCATAAATCAGCTGCGAACACCCTCCCAAAGTCCTGATCTAAGCCCAAATGAGCATTTTGGGATCTTCTTGAGAGGAAAATCCCAAGACACACGATAACATCTAAAAAATGCTCAAGAATGTGATTCTCGAGGAGGTAGGGGAAAATTACAGCAAATGAGACAAAAAAAAAGTGGATTCCATCCCGAGACGCCTTACGGAAGTTTTGCAGAGAAAAGAATACCCTACCAGTTACTAAAAATAATATTATTTATGTTTTAAACAGGTGTACGCAGACTTTTGGCTACATTTTTGGTAGTGTTAAGTTTAAAATTAAAAATAAAATATAAGACACTGTTGAATAATTAAAAAAAATAATACGTCAATGAAGACAATAAATTATAATTATGTTTTAAAAAAAGAATGGTGATTGAGATTTATGCATAAATGGCCGAATAATAATTAGATTTTAAACGTATTTTTTGGGGTTTAGTGAGATATACGAGGAGTATATATACTACGTCACTCCTTCGTGAACATTATATTCACAGAAATAAAAAAAAATGGCTAAAAACCCCACCGAAAAAAGTTTACGTACACTCGTCATCTCTCTGTTTCTTTGGAATTTCCCTTCCAAATCTAACGGTGTTCGTGAATTCTTCCTTCAGTCTACTTCTGATGCTTCCCTTTTTATCCATTTTAAGTTCATTTAATTTGATTTTGCTGGAGTGAGAGGTCAAGATGGGTCGAAGAAGCTAAATTTCACTTGAAAAGCTTACATTTATTTTAAAACATTATTTGGAAGAGAATATAGGATGCTTTAGAGGCCTCCATCCAGCGTGTAAACTAATATTAATTCCTACGGGAACTCTGGAACCTTCAAAGTAAAGCCAAGATTAGGTCGTCCCAAAAATTGACCGATAGGTGTGAACGCCAAATCCTGGGCTCAGTAAATGCCAATCCTAAAAATTCAGCACCAAAAATACAAAATGCAAAACAGTTCAGCCTCAAACTGTACGAAATGTGCTCCACAAGGAGGGGTACAACACACGAACACCTCGTAGAAAGGCTTTGATTTCCTTGGTAAATCGAAAAAGAGGCTGGATTTCGCATACAAATATGTAAACGAGCTGGAATCATTTTGGGACATCGTTATCTGGAGTGGTGAGTCAAAATGTAATATTTTTGGTTCAGATGGCTCGTGGCGGCGGTAACGTGATGGTCTGGGGGTGTGTTGGGACAGCTGGAGTTGGGAAACTTGTGTTTATAAACACTACAATGGACAAGCATCTATACCTCAAAATTTTAAAGGATAACCTTAAGGACAGCGCGACCCAGCTCCAGTTGAATGAGACTACATTTCTTTTTCAACAGGACAACGACCCTAAACACACCTCCCATTTGGTCAACGAGTGGCTACTCTACAACTGCAAGCAATTGCATACACCTCCACAGTCTCCAGATCTCAATTCCATTGAGCACGTTTGTAATTTGTTAGATAAAACGCTCAGAAAACACCAAATATAGACAAAAGAATGGGAAAAAATTGAAAAAAGGTGTACTTAAACTTTGTATACCTTTGCAGAAAGTATTATGATTTCAGTCAAAAGCTTGCAACGCAGTGAAGGAGACATTGCCGACCCTATAAAGTATATATATATATTCTTGATCAGCATCACCAGGAGAGTCGATCTGGCCATATCCGTCTGTCTGTCCGTTTCTTCGCAAACTAGTCCCTCAGTTTTAAAGCTATCTGCTTAAAACTTTCCCAAAAGTTGTCTTTCTATTGCAGGTATATAGTATATATAGTAGTATGCAGTATATAAGTCGGAAAAGCCGGGCGACTATATCATATAGCTCCCTTAGGAACAATCGGAAAAAAAAAATCAAACAAAATTAGAACTTTGTTGTTTTTAATTTTTTTTTTGTTATTTGGGATTTGGTAATATTTAAATATTATGATTGATGGTTTTAATTATGTTAAAATGGACAACAATATCATATAGCTGCACTAGAACGGATGTCAAAATGCAGTGCAAAATCGACATATTGTTTTTGGTAATATGGGCTTAAAAATCGAAAAGTAGTCGATTTGTAATAACTGCAAGGGTATATAAACTTTGGCTTGCAGAAGTTTGCTTCCTTTTTTGTTTGAAGTATTTTTACGATTTGTTTTTATAATCTTGTTATTTTATATAAAATATGGAAACAAGAAGACTTTTATGTTCTAAAAATATATAACCTACCAAACGGAAATAATTTGAAAATTGTACCTGTTTTAGTTAATATCGTTTTGAGTGCTTTAAGTTGCACAACTATGGTGTACTTAAACGCTTTTTGTCCACTGTATGTACATATGGATCACAACTTACTCGGTATCAAGTTGTTATCAATTTTAAAGTTAATTTGCCGATGGTATCAACAAATCTTAGAAGCAGGTACAGTGGCTTACAGTTTATTTCATGCAGATATTTATGTATGCATATACTTAAATACATTTTAAAGTGTGAATGTTTTGTAGTCCTATAAAATACTTGTTTTTGTACATAGAAATTGCACAATTTAATTGCTGTAAATAACATTTAAAGACTGCTACCCAGATTGATGAAATCTGTTCGGCAGCTATGAGAGAGCGAGAGGCAAACAGCTGGCGATCACATTTCGTCAGTCCTTTTGTGCTCCTCGTTACTCATACAGCCTAGTATCCAGATCGACAAAAACCGTACGCCAGTCATGAGAGAGAGCGAGAGGCAAACAGCTGGCTTTTACTTTTCGTCGGGCCTTTTTGTCAAAAATACCAGAAAATTGCATAGCGTTGCCAATCTGCGGAAATGAACTTTGGGTGAACCCTAGCGAAAAGATTAAAAAAATTTAATCTTTTGGCGTGCGCTTCTCACTGACCATTATAAGATATGGAGGGAAAAACTCAAAAAACTCGGAAATGTCGATTGCAGGAGTTTACATGTGAGGACAAAATAACATTAATACTATCTGGGGTGCCTCTTGTCAGAGCAAAATGTTTTTTAGGTCAAGAATGTACGAAAAAACACAATAAAAGTGCAGCTATGAACTTTAAATTAGCATATTTATTTAAATTTAAATTGTTTTGTTTCTTAATTTCTTTGTACAGCGGCAGACTTGTCTTGCCAAGGTATTTAATAATATCTTTTAAAGGCTCCTTCCCGCAAATGCGATATTTGAATTTTAACTGCTTGTCAAGAAACCCAGCTGATTGACAGTACGACCGTTGCACGCTTAAATCTGATGATCTCTCGAAATTTTGGTAACACTGGAAAGATTAAAGTTTTTACGCTAGCATACTCGTTTGTCGATCTGAGTACTAGGCTTAAGCCCAATGTGGACAGGATAATCGTTAGTTGACTCGATAGGCAAATAGGGGGCAGTGTGTAGAGCACATTAATAGATTCTAACTCGATGGTCCAGCTGAGGATAACTTATATTTCCTAGAAAGATTTTCAAGTTTTCTCCGTAAACCTTTCCAGGAAAAGGTTTAATCCAGCTTTTCTATGTTCTTGGCCATTATATTTATTTTTAAAAGTAGTTATATAAAGTTGTACAAGACTGTGTGAAATAGCTTAAGACAAAAACTTTGTCATTAACGGTAGAAGGTAATTGTTTCTATTTCTAACTTTATTATGTTCAATTATATACATTTTTCAGCTCTCTAGTATATACTTCATGATTGGGTATTATGTGAATCTACTGACAGCAAGCAATAATATCGTACTGCAGTGGAAAATACCCTTAATGAGAATCGATTTAAAAACTTCATTTTAATCGATAGGAGGCGGCTTTCCTTAACTATTTTAACAATATATAAAAGTTTGAATATTATTATGGACATTGAATTGCCGTATGTAGTGGAATATGCCAAAAGTGGGAGAGCCTCTTGTAAAGGATGCAAATGTTCGATTCCCAAAAATAACCTTCGCATCGCTGTTATGGTTCAAGTAAGTTTCTATAGTGGCAGGCATATCTCAGCGTAATCAAGTAAGATTAAAAACAAACTCTACTGAATTTACGCGGGCTTTTAGTTAAAATTTGTTTGATCTCCGTATTGGCACAACCATATCTACACAAACATGCATACCCATGAAATATACTTTTACAGTGGACAAAAAGTTTAAGTACACTTCATACCTCAGTGCTTTTTGTAAAAAATATGTATTGAGACTTATCAAAATAATAATAATTAATAAACGTAATCTTTAGGATTTTGAATATACCAATATATATACTACGTCACTCCTTCGTGAACATTATATTCACAGAAATAAAAAAAAAATGGCTAAAAACCCCACCGAAAAAAGTTTACGTACACTCGTCATCTCTCTGTTTCTTTGGAATTTCCCTTCCAAATCTAACGGTGTTCGTGAATTCTTCCTTCAGTCTACTTCTGATGCTTCCCTTTTTATCCATTTTAAGTTCATTTAATTTGATTTTGCTGGAGTGAGAGGTCAAGATGGGTCGAAGAAGCTAAATTTCACTTGAAAAGCTTACATTTATTTTAAAACATTATTTGGAAGGAAAAGATTTTTGAGGATGCTTTAGAGGCCTCCATCCAGCGTGTAAACTAATATTAATTCCTACGGGAACTCTGGAACCTTCAAAGTAAAGCCAAGATTAGGTCGTCCCAAAAATTGACCGATAGGTGTGAACGCCAAATCCTGGGCTCAGTAAATGCCAATCCTAAAAATTCAGCACCAAAAATACAAAATGCAAAACAGTTCAGCCTCAAACTGTACGAAATGTGCTCCACAAGGAGGGGTACAACACACGAACACCTCGTAGAAAGGCTTTGATTTCCTTGGTAAATCGAAAAAAGAGGCTGGATTTCGCATACAAATATGTAAACGAGCTGGAATCATTTTGGGACATCGTTATCTGGAGTGGTGAGTCAAAATGTAATATTTTTGGTTCAGATGGCTCCCAAAAAATAAGGATGAAGTTTAAAAAATTAACACCAAAAGTTAAGCGTGGCGGCGGTAACGTGATGGTCTGGGGGTGTGTTGGGACAGCTGGAGTTGGGAAACTTGTGTTTATAAACACTACAATGGACAAGCATCTATACCTCAAAATTTTAAAGGATAACCTTAAGGACAGCGCGACCCAGCTCCAGTTGAATGAGACTACATTTCTTTTTCAACAGGACAACGACCCTAAACACACCTCTCATTTGGTCAACGAGTGGCTACTCTACAACTGCAAGCAATTGCATACACCTCCACAGTCTCCAGATCTCAATTCCATTGAGCACGTTTGTAATTTGTTAGATAAAACGCTCAGAAAACACCAAATATAGACAAAAGAATGGGAAAAAATTGAAAAAAGGTGTACTTAAACTTTGTATACCTTTGCAGAAAGTATTATGATTTCAGTCAAAAGCTTGCAACGCAGTGAAGGAGACATTGCCGACCCTATAAAGTATATATATATATTCTTGATCAGCATCACCAGGAGAGTCGATCTGGCCATATCCGTCTGTCTGTCCGTTTCTTCGCAAACTAGTCCCTCAGTTTTAAAGCTATCTGCTTAAAACTTTCCCAAAAGTTGTCTTTCTATTGCAGGTATATAGTATATATAGTAGTATGCAGTATATAAGTCGGAAAAGCCGGGCGACTATATCATATAGCTCCCTTAGGAACAATCGGAAAAAAAAATCAAACAAAATTAGAACTTTGTTGTTTTTAATTTTTTTTTGTTATTTGGGATTTGGTAATATTTAAATATTATGATTGATGGTTTTAATTATGTTAAAATGGACAACAATATCATATAGCTGCACTAGAACGGATGTCAAAATGCAGTGCAAAATCGACATATTGTTTTTGGTAATATGGGCTTAAAAATCGAAAAGTAGTCGATTTGTAATAACTGCAAGGGTATATAAACTTTGGCTTGCAGAAGTTTGCTTCCTTTTTTGTTTGAAGTATTTTTACGATTTGTTTTTATAATCTTGTTATTTTATATAAAATATGGAAACAAGAAGACTTTTATGTTCTAAAAATATATAACCTACCAAACGGAAATAATTTGAAAATTGTACCTGTTTTAGTTAATATCGTTTTGAGTGCTTTAAGTTGCACAACTATGGTGTACTTAAACGCTTTTTGTCCACTGTATGTACATATGGATCACAACTTACTCGGTATCAAGTTGTTATCAATTTTAAAGTTAATTTGCCGATGGTATCAACAAATCTTAGAAGCAGGTACAGTGGCTTACAGTTTATTTCATGCAGATATTTATGTATGCATATACTTAAATACATTTTAAAGTGTGAATGTTTTGTAGTCCTATAAAATACTTGTTTTTGTACATAGAAATTGCACAATTTAATTGCTGTAAATAACATTTAAAGACTGCTACCCAGATTGATGAAATCTGTTCGGCAGCTATGAGAGAGCGAGAGGCAAACAGCTGGCGATCACATTTCGTCAGTCCTTTTGTGCTCCTCGTTACTCATACAGCCTAGTATCCAGATCGACAAAAACCGTACGCCAGTCATGAGAGAGAGCGAGAGGCAAACAGCTGGCTTTTACTTTTCGTCGGGCCTTTTTGTCAAAAATACCAGAAAATTGCATAGCGTTGCCAATCTGCGGAAATGAACTTTGGGTGAACCCTAGCGAAAAGATTAAAAAAATTTAATCTTTTGGCGTGCGCTTCTCACTGACCATTATAAGATATGGAGGGAAAAACTCAAAAAACTCGGAAATGTCGATTGCTGGAGTTTACATGTGAGGACAAAATAACATTAATACTATCTGGGGTGCCTCTTGTCAGAGCAAAATGTTTTTTAGGTCAAGAATGTACGAAAAAACACAATAAAAGTGCAGCTATGAACTTTAAATTAGCATATTTATTTAAATTTAAATTGTTTTGTTTCTTAATTTCTTTGTACAGCGGCAGACTTGTCTTGCCAAGGTATTTGATAATATCTTTTAAAGGCTCCTTCCCGCAAATGCGATATTTGAATTTTAACTGCTTGTCAAGAAACCCAGCTGATTGACAGTACGACCGTTGCACGCTTAAATCTGATGATCTCTCGAAATTTTGGTAACACTGGAAAGATTAAAGTTTTTACGCTAGCATACTCGTTTGTCGATCTGAGTACTAGGCTTAAGCCCAATGTGGACAGGATAATCGTTAGTTGACTCGATAGGCAAATAGGGGGCAGTGTGTAGAGCACATTAATAGATTCTAACTCGATGGTCCAGCTGAGGATAACTTATATTTCCTAGAAAGATTTTCAAGTTTTCTCCGTAAACCTTTCCAGGAAAAGGTTTAATCCAGCTTTTCTATGTTCTTGGCCATTATATTTATTTTTAAAAGTAGTTATATAAAGTTGTACAAGACTGTGTGAAATAGCTTAAGACAAAAACTTTGTCATTAACGGTAGAAGGTAATTGTTTCTATTTCTAACTTTATTATGTTCAATTATATACATTTTTCAGCTCTCTAGTATATACTTCATGATTGGGTATTATGTGAATCTACTGACAGCAAGCAATAATATCGTACTGCAGTGGAAAATACCCTTAATGAGAATCGATTTAAAAACTTCATTTTAATCGATAGGAGGCGGCTTTCCTTAACTATTTTAACAATATATAAAAGTTTGAATATTATTATGGACATTGAATTGCCGTATGTAGTGGAATATGCCAAAAGTGGGAGAGCCTCTTGTAAAGGATGCAAATGTTCGATTCCCAAAAATAACCTTCGCATCGCTGTTATGGTTCAAGTAAGTTTCTATAGTGGCAGGCATATCTCAGCGTAATCAAGTAAGATTAAAAACAAACTCTACTGAATTTACGCGGGCTTTTAGTTAAAATTTGTTTGATCTCCGTATTGGCACAACCATATCTACACAAACATGCATACCCATGAAATATACTTTTACAGTGGACAAAAAGTTTAAGTACACTTCATACCTCAGTGCTTTTTGTAAAAAATATGTATTGAGACTTATCAAAATAATAATAATTAATAAACGTAATCTTTAGGATTTTGAATATACCAATATATATACTACGTCACTCCTTCGTGAACATTATATTCACAGAAATAAAAAAAAAATGGCTAAAAACCCCACCGAAAAAAGTTTACGTACACTCGTCATCTCTCTGTTTCTTTGGAATTTCCCTTCCAAATCTAACGGTGTTCGTGAATTCTTCCTTCAGTCTACTTCTGATGCTTCCCTTTTTATCCATTTTAAGTTCATTTAATTTGATTTTGCTGGAGTGAGAGGTCAAGATGGGTCGAAGAAGCTAAATTTCACTTGAAAAGCTTACATTTATTTTAAAACATTATTTGGAAGGAAAAGGATGCTTTAGAGGCCTCCATCCAGCGTGTAAACTAATATTAATTCCTACGGGAACTCTGGAACCTTCAAAGTAAAGCCAAGATTAGGTCGTCCCAAAAATTGACCGATAGGTGTGAACGCCAAATCCTGGGCTCAGTAAATGCCAATCCTAAAAATTCAGCACCAAAAATACAAAATGCAAAACAGTTCAGCCTCAAACTGTACGAAATGTGCTCCACAAGGAGGGGTACAACACACGAACACCTCGTAGAAAGGCTTTGATTTCCTTGGTAAATCGAAAAAGAGGCTGGATTTCGCATACAAATATGTAAACGAGCTGGAATCATTTTGGGACATCGTTATCTGGAGTGGTGAGTCAAAATGTAATATTTTTGGTTCAGATGGCTCCCAAAAAATAAGGATGAAGTTTAAAAAATTAACACCAAAAGTTAAGCGTGGCGGCGGTAACGTGATGGTCTGGGGGTGTGTTGGGACAGCTGGAGTTGGGAAACTTGTGTTTATAAACACTACAATGGACAAGCATCTATACCTCAAAATTTTAAAGGATAACCTTAAGGACAGCGCGACCCAGCTCCAGTTGAATGAGACTACATTTCTTTTTCAACAGGACAACGACCCTAAACACACCTCTCATTTGGTCAACGAGTGGCTACTCTACAACTGCAAGCAATTGCATACACCTCCACAGTCTCCAGATCTCAATTCCATTGAGCACGTTTGTAATTTGTTAGATAAAACGCTCAGAAAACACCAAATATAGACAAAAGAATGGGAAAAAATTGAAAAAAGGTGTACTTAAACTTTGTATACCTTTGCAGAAAGTATTATGATTTCAGTCAAAAGCTTGCAACGCAGTGAAGGAGACATTGCCGACCCTATAAAGTATATATATTCTTGATCAGCATCACCAGGAGAGTCGATCTGGCCATATCCGTCTGTCTGTCCGTTTCTTCGCAAACTAGTCCCTCAGTTTTAAAGCTATCTGCTTAAAACTTTCCCAAAAGTTGTCTTTCTATTGCAGGTATATAGTAGTATGCAGTATATAAGTCGGAAAAGCCGGGCGACTATATCATATAGCTCCCTTAGGAACAATCGGAAAAAAAAAATCAAACAAAATTAGAACTTTGTTGTTTTTAATTTTTTTTTTGTTATTTGGGATTTGGTAATATTTAAATATTATGAAATGATGGTTTTAATTATGTTAAAATGGACAACAATATCATATAGCTGCACTAGAACGGATGTCAAAATGCAGTGCAAAATCGACATATTGTTTTTGGTAATATGGGCTTAAAAATCGAAAAGTAGTCGATTTGTAATAACTGCAAGGGTATATAAACTTTGGCTTGCAGAAGTTTGCTTCCTTTTTTGTTTGAAGTATTTTTACGATTTGTTTTTATAATCTTGTTATTTTATATAAAATATGGAAACAAGAAGACTTTTATGTTCTAAAAATATATAACCTACCAAACGGAAATAATTTGAAAATTGTACCTGTTTTAGTTAATATCGTTTTGAGTGCTTTAAGTTGCACAACTATGGTGTACTTAAACGCTTTTTGTCCACTGTATGTACATATGGATCACAACTTACTCGGTATCAAGTTGTTATCAATTTTAAAGTTAATTTGCCGATGGTATCAACAAATCTTAGAAGCAGGTACAGTGGCTTACAGTTTATTTCATGCAGATATTTATGTATGCATATACTTAAATACATTTTAAAGTGTGAATGTTTTGTAGTCCTATAAAATACTTGTTTTTGTACATAGAAATTGCACAATTTAATTGCTGTAAATAACATTTAAAGACTGCTACCCAGATTGATGAAATCTGTTCGGCAGCTATGAGAGAGCGAGAGGCAAACAGCTGGCGATCACATTTCGTCAGTCCTTTTGTGCTCCTCGTTACTCATACAGCCTAGTATCCAGATCGACAAAAACCGTACGCCAGTCATGAGAGAGAGCGAGAGGCAAACAGCTGGCTTTTACTTTTCGTCGGGCCTTTTTGTCAAAAATACCAGAAAATTGCATAGCGTTGCCAATCTGCGGAAATGAACTTTGGGTGAACCCTAGCGAAAAGATTAAAAAAATTTAATCTTTTGGCGTGCGCTTCTCACTGACCATTATAAGATATGGAGGGAAAAACTCAAAAAACTCGGAAATGTCGATTGCAGGAGTTTACATGTGAGGACAAAATAACATTAATACTATCTGGGGTGCCTCTTGTCAGAGCAAAATGTTTTTTAGGTCAAGAATGTACGAAAAAACACAATAAAAGTGCAGCTATGAACTTTAAATTAGCATATTTATTTAAATTTAAATTGTTTTGTTTCTTAATTTCTTTGTACAGCGGCAGACTTGTCTTGCCAAGGTATTTGATAATATCTTTTAAAGGCTCCTTCCCGCAAATGCGATATTTGAATTTTAACTGCTTGTCAAGAAACCCAGCTGATTGACAGTACGACCGTTGCACGCTTAAATCTGATGATCTCTCGAAATTTTGGTAACACTGGAAAGATTAAAGTTTTTACGCTAGCATACTCGTTTGTCGATCTGAGTACTAGGCTTAAGCCCAATGTGGACAGGATAATCGTTAGTTGACTCGATAGGCAAATAGGGGGCAGTGTGTAGAGCACATTAATAGATTCTAACTCGATGGTCCAGCTGAGGATAACTTATATTTCCTAGAAAGATTTTCAAGTTTTCTCCGTAAACCTTTCCAGGAAAAGGTTTAATCCAGCTTTTCTATGTTCTTGGCCATTATATTTATTTTTAAAAGTAGTTATATAAAGTTGTACAAGACTGTGTGAAATAGCTTAAGACAAAAACTTTGTCATTAACGGTAGAAGGTAATTGTTTCTATTTCTAACTTTATTATGTTCAATTATATACATTTTTCAGCTCTCTAGTATATACTTCATGATTGGGTATTATGTGAATCTACTGACAGCAAGCAATAATATCGTACTGCAGTGGAAAATACCCTTAATGAGAATCGATTTAAAAACTTCATTTTAATCGATAGGAGGCGGCTTTCCTTAACTATTTTAACAATATATAAAAGTTTGAATATTATTATGGACATTGAATTGCCGTATGTAGTGGAATATGCCAAAAGTGGGAGAGCCTCTTGTAAAGGATGCAAATGTTCGATTCCCAAAAATAACCTTCGCATCGCTGTTATGGTTCAAGTAAGTTTCTATAGTGGCAGGCATATCTCAGCGTAATCAAGTAAGATTAAAAACAAACTCTACTGAATTTACGCGGGCTTTTAGTTAAAATTTGTTTGATCTCCGTATTGGCACAACCATATCTACACAAACATGCATACCCATGAAATATACTTTTACAGTGGACAAAAAGTTTAAGTACACTTCATACCTCAGTGCTTTTTGTAAAAAATATGTATTGAGACTTATCAAAATAATAATAATTAATAAACGTAATCTTTAGGATTTTGAATATACCAATATATATACTACGTCACTCCTTCGTGAACATTATATTCACAGAAATAAAAAAAAAATGGCTAAAAACCCCACCGAAAAAAGTTTACGTACACTCGTCATCTCTCTGTTTCTTTGGAATTTCCCTTCCAAATCTAACGGTGTTCGTGAATTCTTCCTTCAGTCTACTTCTGATGCTTCCCTTTTTATCCATTTTAAGTTCATTTAATTTGATTTTGCTGGAGTGAGAGGTCAAGATGGGTCGAGGAAGCTAAATTCCACTTGAAAAGCTTACATTTATTTTAAAACATTATTTGGAAGGAAAAGGATGCTTTAGAGGCCTCCATCCAGCGTGTAAACTAATATTAATTCCTACGGGAACTCTGGAACCTTCAAAGTAAAGCCAAGATTAGGTCGTCCCAAAAATTGACCGATAGGTGTGAACGCCAAATCCTGGGCTCAGTAAATGCCAATCCTAAAAATTCAGCACCAAAAATACAAAATGCAAAACAGTTCAGCCTCAAACTGTACGAAATGTGCTCCACAAGGAGGGGTACAACACACGAACACCTCGTAGAAAGGCTTTGATTTCCTTGGTAAATCGAAAAAGAGGCTGGATTTCGCATACAAATATGTAAACGAGCTGGAATCATTTTGGGACATCGTTATCTGGAGTGGTGAGTCAAAATGTAATATTTTTGGTTCAGATGGCTCCCAAAAATAAGGATGAAGTTTAAAAAATTAACACCAAAAGTTAAGCGTGGCGGCGGTAACGTGATGGTCTGGGGGTGTGTTGGGACAGCTGGAGTTGGGAAACTTGTGTTTATAAACACTACAATGGACAAGCATCTATACCTCAAAATTTTAAAGGATAACCTTAAGGACAGCGCGACCCAGCTCCAGTTGAATGAGACTACATTTCTTTTTCAACAGGACAACGACCCTAAACACACCTCCTCATTTGGTCAACGAGTGGCTACTCTACAACTGCAAGCAATTGCATACACCTCCACAGTCTCCAGATCTCAATTCCATTGAGCACGTTTGTAATTTGTTAGATAAAACGCTCAGAAAACACCAAATATAGACAAAAGAATGGGAAAAAATTGAAAAAAAGGTGTACTTAAACTTTGTATACCTTTGCAGAAAGTATTATGATTTCAGTCAAAAGCTTGCAACGCAGTGAAGGAGACATTGCCGACCCTATAAAGTATATATATTCTTGATCAGCATCACCAGGAGAGTCGATCTGGCCATATCCGTCTGTCTGTCCGTTTCTTCGCAAACTAGTCCCTCAGTTTTAAAGCTATCTGCTTAAAACTTTCCCAAAAGTTGTCTTTCTATTGCAGGTATATAGTATATATAGTAGTATGCAGTATATAAGTCGGAAAAGCCGGGCGACTATATCATATAGCTCCCTTAGGAACAATCGGAAAAAAAAAATCAAACAAAATTAGAACTTTGTTGTTTTTAATTTTTTTTTTGTTATTTGGGATTTGGTAATATTTAAATATTATGAAATGATGGTTTTAATTATGTTAAAATGGACAACAATATCATATAGCTGCACTAGAACGGATGTCAAAATGCAGTGCAAAATCGACATATTGTTTTTGGTAATATGGGCTTAAAAATCGAAAAGTAGTCGATTTGTAATAACTGCAGGGGTATATAAACTTTGGCTTGCAGAAGTTTGCTTCCTTTTTTGTTTGAAGTATTTTTACTATTTGTTTTTATAATCTTGTTATTTTATATAAAATATGGAAACAAGAAGACTTTTATGTTCTAAAAATATATAACCTACCAAACGGAAATAATTTGAAAATTGTACCTGTTTTAGTTAATATCGTTTTGAGTGCTTTAAGTTGCACAACTATGGTGTACTTAAACGCTTTTTGTCCACTGTATGTACATATGGATCACAACTTACTCGGTATCAAGTTGTTATCAATTTTAAAGTTAATTTGCCGATGGTATCAACAAATCTTAGAAGCAGGTACAGTGGCTTACAGTTTATTTCATGCAGATATTTATGTATGCATATACTTAAATACATTTTAAAGTGTGAATGTTTTGTAGTCCTATAAAATACTTGTTTTTGTACATAGAAATTGCACAATTTAATTGCTGTAAATAACATTTAAAGACTGCTACCCAGATTGATGAAATCTGTTCGGCAGCTATGAGAGAGCGAGAGGCAAACAGCTGGCGATCACATTTCGTCAGTCCTTTTGTGCTCCTCGTTACTCATACAGCCTAGTATCCAGATCGACAAAAACCGTACGCCAGTCATGAGAGAGAGCGAGAGGCAAACAGCTGGCTTTTACTTTTCGTCGGGCCTTTTTGTCAAAAATACCAGAACCCTAGCGAAAAGATTAAAAAATTTAATCTTTTGGCGTGCGCTTCTCACTGACCATTATAAGATATGGAGGGAAAAACTCAAAAAACTCGGAAATGTCGATTGCAGGAGTTTACATGTGAGGACAAAATAACATTAATACTATCTGGGGTGCCTCTTGTCAGAGCAAAATGTTTTTTAGGTCAAGAATGTACGAAAAAACACAATAAAAGTGCAGCTATGAACTTTAAATTAGCATATTTATTTAAATTTAAATTGTTTTGTTTCTTAATTTCTTTGTACAGCGGCAGACTTGTCTTGCCAAGGTATTTGATAATATCTTTTAAAGGCTCCTTCCCGCAAATGCGATATTTGAATTTTAACTGCTTGTCAAGAAACCCAGCTGATTGACAGTACGACCGTTGCACGCTTAAATCTGATGATCTCTCGAAATTTTGGTAACACTGGAAAGATTAAAGTTTTTACGCTAGCATACTCGTTTGTCGATCTGAGTACTAGGCTTAAGCCCAATGTGGACAGGATAATCGTTAGTTGACTCGATAGGCAAATAGGGGGCAGTGTGTAGAGCACATTAATAGATTCTAACTCGATGGTCCAGCTGAGGATAACTTATATTTCCTAGAAAGATTTTCAAGTTTTCTCCGTAAACCTTTCCAGGAAAAGGTTTAATCCAGCTTTTCTATGTTCTTGGCCATTATATTTATTTTTAAAAGTAGTTATATAAAGTTGTACAAGACTGTGTGAAATAGCTTAAGACAAAAACTTTGTCATTAACGGTAGAAGGTAATTGTTTCTATTTCTAACTTTATTATGTTCAATTATATACATTTTTCAGCTCTCTAGTATATACTTCATGATTGGGTATTATGTGAATCTACTGACAGCAAGCAATAATATCGTACTGCAGTGGAAAATACCCTTAATGAGAATCGATTTAAAAACTTCATTTTAATCGATAGGAGGCGGCTTTCCTTAACTATTTTAACAATATATAAAAGTTTGAATATTATTATGGACATTGAATTGCCGTATGTAGTGGAATATGCCAAAAGTGGGAGAGCCTCTTGTAAAGGATGCAAATGTTCGATTCCCAAAAATAACCTTCGCATCGCTGTTATGGTTCAAGTAAGTTTCTATAGTGGCAGGCATATCTCAGCGTAATCAAGTAAGATTAAAAACAAACTCTACTGAATTTACGCGGGCTTTTAGTTAAAATTTGTTTGATCTCCGTATTGGCACAACCATATCTACACAAACATGCATACCCATGAAATATACTTTTACAGTGGACAAAAAGTTTAAGTACACTTCATACCTCAGTGCTTTTTGTAAAAAATATGTATTGAGACTTATCAAAATAATAATAATTAATAAACTTAATCTTTAGGATTTCGAATATACAATTATATATACTACGTCACTCCTTCGTGAACATTATATTCACAGAAATAAAAAAAAAATGGCTAAAAACCCCACCGAAAAAAGTTTACGTACACTCGTCATCTCTCTTTTTCTTTGGAATTTCCCTTCCAAATATAACGGTGTTCGTGAATTCTTCCTTCAGTCTACTTCTGATGCTTCCCTTTTTATCCATTTTAAGTTCATTTAATTTGATTTTGCTGGAGTGAGAGGTCAAGATGGGTCGAAGAAGCTAAATTCCACTTGAAAAGCTTACATTTATTTTAAAACATTATTTGGAAGGAAAAGGATGCTTTAGAGGCCTCCATCCAGCGTGTAAACTAATATTAATTCCTACGGGAACTCTGGAACCTTCAAAGTAAAGCCAAGATTAGGTCGTCCCAAAAATTGACCGATAGGTGTGAACGCCAAATCCTGGGCTCAGTAAATGCCAATCCTAAAAATTCAGCACCAAAAATACAAAATGCAAAACAGTTCAGCCTCAAACTGTACGAAATGTGCTCCACAAGGAGGGGTACAACACACGAACACCTCGTAGAAAGGCTTTGATTTCCTTGGTAAATCGAAAAAGAGGCTGGATTTCGCATACAAATATGTAAACGAGCTGGAATCATTTTGGGACATCGTTATCTGGAGTGGTGAGTCAAAATGTAATATTTTTGGTTCAGATGGCTCCCAAAAATAAGGATGAAGTTTAAAAATTAACACCAAACGTTAAGCGTGGCGGCGGTAACGTGATGGTCTGGGGGTGTGTTGGGACAGCTGGAGTTGGGAAACTTGTGTTTATAAACACTACAATGGACAAGCATCTATACCTCAAAATTTTAAAGGATAACCTTAAGGACAGCGCGACCCAGCTCCAGTTGAATGAGACTACATTTCTTTTTCAACAGGACAACGACCCTAAACACACCTCCCATTTGGTCAACGAGTGGCTACTCTACAACTGCAAGCAATTGCATACACCTCCACAGTCTCCAGATCTCAATTCCATTGAGCACGTTTGTAATTTGTTAGATAAAACGCTCAGAAAACACCAAATATAGTCAAAAGAATGGGAAAAAATTGAAAAAAGGTGTTACTTAAACTTTGTATACCTTTGCAGAAAGTATTATGATTTCAGTCAAAAGCTTGCAACGCAGTGAAGGAGACATTGCCGACCCTATAAAGTATATATATTCTTGATCAGCATCACCAGGAGAGTCGATCTGGCCATATCCGTCTGTCTGTCCGTTTCTTCGCAAACTAGTCCCTCAGTTTTAAAGCTATCTGCTTAAAACTTTCCCAAAAGTTGTCTTTCTATTGCAGGTATATAGTATATATAGTAGTATGCAGTATATAAGTCGGAAAAGCCGGGCGACTATATCATATAGCTCCCTTAGGAACAATCGGAAAAAAAAAATCAAACAAAATTAGAACTTTGTTGTTTTTAATTTTTTTTTTGTTATTTGGGATTTGGTAATATTTAAATATTATGAAATGATGGTTTTAATTATGTTAAAATGGACAACAATATCATATAGCTGCACTAGAACGGATGTCAAAATGCAGTGCAAAATCGACATATTGTTTTTGGTAATATGGGCTTAAAAATCGAAAAGTAGTCGATTTGTAATAACTGCAAGGGTATATAAACTTTGGCTTGCAGAAGTTTGCTTCCTTTTTTGTTTGAAGTATTTTTACGATTTGTTTTTATAATCTTGTTATTTTATATAAAATATGGAAACAAGAAGACTTTTATGTTCTAAAAATATATAACCTACCAAACGGAAATAATTTGAAAATTGTACCTGTTTTAGTTAATATCGTTTTGAGTGCTTTAAGTTGCACAACTATGGTGTACTTAAACGCTTTTTGTCCACTGTATGTACATATGGATCACAACTTACTCGGTATCAAGTTGTTATCAATTTTAAAGTTAATTTGCCGATGGTATCAACAAATCTTAGAAGCAGGTACAGTGGCTTACAGTTTATTTCATGCAGATATTTATGTATGCATATACTTAAATACATTTTAAAGTGTGAATGTTTTGTAGTCCTATAAAATACTTGTTTTTGTACATAGAAATTGCACAATTTAATTGCTGTAAATAACATTTAAAGACTGCTACCCAGATTGATGAAATCTGTTCGGCAGCTATGAGAGAGCGAGAGGCAAACAGCTGGCGATCACATTTCGTCAGTCCTTTTGTGCTCCTCGTTACTCATACAGCCTAGTATCCAGATCGACAAAAACCGTACGCCAGTCATGAGAGAGAGCGAGAGGCAAACAGCTGGCTTTTACTTTTCGTCGGGCCTTTTTGTCAAAAATACCAGAAAATTGCATAGCGTTGCCAGTCTGCGGAAATGAACTTTGGGTGAACCCTAGCGAAAAGATTAAAAAATTTTGGCGTGCGCTTCTCACTGACCATTATAAGATATGGAGGGAAAAACTCAAAAAACTCGGAAATGTCGATTGCAGGAGTTTACATGTGAGGACAAAATAACATTAATACTATCTGGGGTGCCTCTTGTCAGAGCAAAATGTTTTTTAGGTCAAGAATGTACGAAAAAACACAATAAAAGTGCAGCTATGAACTTTAAATTAGCATATATTATTTAAATTTAAATTGTTTTGTTTCTTAATTTCTTTGTACAGCGGCAGACTTGTCTTGCCAAGGTATTTGATAATATCTTTTAAAGGCTCCTTCCCGCAAATGCGATATTTGAATTTTAACTGCTTGTCAAGAAACCCAGCTGATTGACAGTACGACCGTTGCACGCTTAAATCTGATGATCTCTCGAAATTTTGGTAACACTGGAAAGATTAAAGTTTTTACGCTAGCATACTCGTTTGTCGATCTGAGTACTAGGCTTAAGCCCAATGTGGACAGGATAATCGTTAGTTGACTCGATAGGCAAATAGGGGGCAGTGTGTAGAGCACATTAATAGATTCTAACTCGATGGTCCAGCTGAGGATAACTTATATTTCCTAGAAAGATTTTCAAGTTTTCTCCGTAAACCTTTCCAGGAAAAGGTTTAATCCAGCTTTTCTATGTTCTTGGCCATTATATTTATTTTTAAAAGTAGTTATATAAAGTTGTACAAGACTGTGTGAAATAGCTTAAGACAAAAACTTTGTCATTAACGGTAGAAGGTAATTGTTTCTATTTCTAACTTTATTATGTTCAATTATATACATTTTTCAGCTCTCTAGTATATACTTCATGATTGGGTATTATGTGAATCTACTGACAGCAAGCAATAATATCGTACTGCAGTGGAAAATACCCTTAATGAGAATCGATTTAAAAACTTCATTTTAATCGATAGGAGGCGGCTTTCCTTAACTATTTTAACAATATATAAAAGTTTGAATATTATTATGGACATTGAATTGCCGTATGTAGTGGAATATGCCAAAAGTGGGAGAGCCTCTTGTAAAGGATGCAAATGTTCGATTCCCAAAAATAACCTTCGCATCGCTGTTATGGTTCAAGTAAGTTTCTATAGTGGCAGGCATATCTCAGCGTAATCAAGTAAGATTAAAAACAAACTCTACTGAATTTACGCGGGCTTTTAGTTAAAATTTGTTTGATCTCCGTATTGGCACAACCATATCTACACAAACATGCATACCCATGAAATATACTTTTACAGTGGACAAAAAGTTTAAGTACACTTCATACCTCAGTGCTTTTTGTAAAAAATATGTATTGAGACTTATCAAAATAATAATAATTAATAAACGTAATCTTTAGGATTTCGAATATACCAATATATATACTACGTCACTCCTTCGTGAACATTATATTCACAGAAATAAAAAAAAAATGGCTAAAAACCCCACCGAAAAAAGTTTACGTACACTCGTCATCTCTCTGTTTCTTTGGAATTTCCCTTCCAAATCTAACGGTGTTCGTGAATTCTTCCTTCAGTCTACTTCTGATGCTTCCCTTTTTATCCATTTTAAGTTCATTTAATTTGATTTTGCTGGAGTGAGAGGTCAAGATGGGTCGAGGAAGCTAAATTCCACTTGAAAAGCTTACATTTATTTTAAAACATTATTTGGAAGGAAAGTTATTGGCAGGATGCTTTAGAGGCCTCCATCCAGCGTGTAAACTAATATTAATTCCTACGGGAACTCTGGAACCTTCAAAGTAAAGCCAAGATTAGGTCGTCCCAAAAATTGACCGATAGGTGTGAACGCCAAATCCTGGGCTCAGTAAATGCCAATCCTAAAAATTCAGCACCAAAAATACAAAATGCAAAACAGTTCAGCCTCAAACTGTACGAAATGTGCTCCACAAGGAGGGGTACAACACACGAACACCTCGTAGAAAGGCTTTGATTTCCTTGGTAAATCGAAAAAGAGGCTGGATTTCGCATACAAATATGTAAACGAGCTGGAATCATTTTGGGACATCGTTATCTGGAGTGGTGAGTCAAAATGTAATATTTTTGGTTCAGATGGCTCCCAAAAAATAAGGATGAAGTTTAAAAAATTAACACCAAACGTTAAGCGTGGCGGCGGTAACGTGATGGTCTGGGGGTGTGTTGGGACAGCTGGAGTTGGGAAACTTGTGTTTATAAACACTACAATGGACAAGCATCTATACCTCAAAATTTTAAAGGATAACCTTAAGGACAGCGCGACCCAGCTCCATTTGAATGAGACTACATTTCTTTTTCAACAGGACAACGACCCTAAACACACCTCCCATTTGGTCAACGAGTGGCTACTCTACAACTGCAAGCAATTGCATACACCTCCACAGTCTCCAGATCTCAATTCCATTGAGCACGTTTGTAATTTGTTAGATAAAACGCTCAGAAAACACCAAATATAGTCAAAAGAATGGGAAAAAATTAAAAAAAAGGTGTACTTAAACTTTGTATACCACACCTCCTATTTGGTCAACGAGTGGCTACTCTACAACTGCAAGCAATTGCATACACCTCCCTTCCAGTTTTAAAAAACCAAGATAGTCAAAGAATGAAAAATCAAAAAGGTGTACTTAAACTTTGTATACCTTTGCAGAAAGTATTATGATTTCAGTCAAAAGTTTGCAACGCAGTGAAGGAGACATTGCCGACCCTATAAAGTATATATATTCTTGATCAGCATCACCAGGAGAGTCGATCTGGCCATATCCGTCTGTCTGTCCGTTTCTTCGCAAACTAGTCCCTCAGTTTTAAAGCTATCTGCTTAAAACTTTCCCAAAAGTTGTCTTTCTATTGCAGGTAGTATATAAGTCGGAAAAGCCGGGCGACTATATCATATAGCTCCCTTAGGAACAATCGGAAAAAAAAATCAAACAAAATTAGAACTTTGTTGTTTTTAATTTTTTTTTTTGTTATTTGGGATTTGGTAATATTTAAATATTATGAAATGATGGTTTTAATTATGTTAAAATGGACAACAATATCATATAGCTGCACTAGAACGGATGTCAAAATGCAGTGCAAAATCGACATATTGTTTTTGGTAATATGGGCTTAAAAATCGAAAAGTAGTCGATTTGTAATAACTGCAAGGGTATATAAACTTTGGCTTGCAGAAGTTTGCTTCCTTTTTTGTTTGAAGTATTTTTACGATTTGTTTTTATAATCTTGTTATTTTATATAAAATATGGAAACAAGAAGACTTTTATGTTCTAAAAATATATAACCTACCAAACGGAAATAATTTGAAAATTGTACCTGTTTTAGTTAATATCGTTTTGAGTGCTTTAAGTTGCACAACTATGGTGTACTTAAACGCTTTTTGTCCACTGTATGTACATATGGATCACAACTTACTCGGTATCAAGTTGTTATCAATTTTAAAGTTAATTTGCCGATGGTATCAACAAATCTTAGAAGCAGGTACAGTGGCTTACAGTTTATTTCATGCAGATATTTATGTATGCATATACTTAAATACATTTTAAAGTGTGAATGTTTTGTAGTCCTATATGTCCTATAGTCCTAAAAATACTTGTTTTTGTACATAGAAATTGCACAATTTAATTGCTGTAAATAACATTTAAAGACTGCTACCCAGATTGATGAAATCTGTTCGGCAGCTATGAGAGAGCGAGAGGCAAACAGCTGGCGATCACATTTCGTCAGTCCTTTTGTGCTCCTCGTTACTCATACAGCCTAGTATCCAGATCGACAAAAACCGTACGCCAGTCATGAGAGAGAGCGAGAGGCAAACAGCTGGCTTTTACTTTTCGTCGGGCCTTTTTGTCAAAAATACCAGAAAATTGCATAGCGTTGCCAGTCTGCGGAAATGAACTTTGGGTGAACCCTAGCGAAAAGATTAAAAAATTTAATCTTTTGGCGTGCGCTTCTCACTGACCATTATAAGATATGGAGAGAAAAACTCAAAAAACTCGGAAAAGTCGATTGCAGGAGTTTACATGTGAGGACAAAATAACATTAATACTATCTGGGGTGCCTCTTGTCAGAGCAAAATGTTTTTTAGGTCAAGAATGTACGAAAAAACACAATAAAAGTGCAGCTATGAACTTTAAATTAGCATATAATTATCAGTAAATTAAAAAAAACAACTTTTAAATTTAAATTGTTTTGTTTTTTAATTTCTTTGTACAGCGGCAGACTTGTCTTGCCAAGGTATTTGATAATATCTTTTAAAGGCTCCTTCCCGCAAATACGATATTTGAATTTAAACTGCTTGTCAAGAAACCCAGCTGATTGACAGTACGACCGTTGCACGCTTAAATCTGATGATCTCTCGAAATTTTGGTAACACTGGAAAGATTAAAGTTTTTACGCTAGCATACTCGTTTGTCGATCTGAGTACTAGGCTTAAGCCCAATGTGGACAGGATAATCGTTAGTTGACTCGATAGGCAAATAGGGGGCAGTGTGTAGAGCACATTAATAGATTCTAACTCGATGGTCCAGCTGAGGATAACTTATATTTCCTAGAAAGATTTTCAAGTTTTCTCCGTAAACCTTTCCAGGAAAAGGTTTAATCCAGCTTTTCTATGTTCTTGGCCATTATATTTATTTTTAAAAGTAGTTATATAAAGTTGTACAAGACTGTGTGAAATAGCTTAAGACAAAAACTTTGTCATTAACGGTAGAAGGTAATTGTTTCTATTTCTAACTTTATTATGTTCAATTATATACATTTTTCAGCTCTCTAGTATATACTTCATGATTGGGTATTATGTGAATCTACTGACAGCAAGCATAATATCGTACTGCAGTGGAAAATACCCTTAATGAGAATCGATTTAAAAACTTCATTTTAATCGATAGGAGGCGGCTTTCCTTAACTATTTTAACAATATATAAAAGTTTGAATATTATTATGGACATTGAATTGCCGTATGTAGTGGAATATGCCAAAAGTGGGAGAGCCTCTTGTAAAGGATGCAAATGTTCGATTCCCAAAAATAACCTTCGCATCGCTGTTATGGTTCAAGTAAGTTTCTATAGTGGCAGGCATATCTCAGCGTAATCAAGTAAGATTAAAAACAAACTCTACTGAATTTACGCGGGCTTTTAGTTAAAATTTGTTTGATCTCCGTATTGGCACAACCATATCTACACAAACATGCATACCCATGAAATATACTTTTACAGTGGACCAAAAAGTTTAAGTACACTTCATACCTCAGTGCTTTTTGTAAAAAATATGTATTGAGACTTATCAAAATAATAATAATTAATAAACGTAATCTTTAGGATTTCGAATATACCAATATATATACTACGTCACTCCTTCGTGAACATTATATTCACAGAAATAAAAAAAAATGGCTAAAAACCCCACCGAAAAAAGTTTACGTACACTCGTCATCTCTCTGTTTCTTTGGAATTTCCCTTCCAAATCTAACGGTGTTCGTGAATTCTTCCTTCAGTCTACTTCTGATGCTTCCATTTTTATCCATTTTAAGTTCATTTAATTTGATTTTGCTGGAGTTGAGAGGTCAAGATGGGTCGAAGAAGCTAAATTTCACTTGAAAAGCTTACATTTATTTTAAAACATTATTTGGAAGGAAAAGGATGCTTTAGAGGCCTCCATCCAGCGTGTAAACTAATATTAATTCCTACGGGAACTCTGGAACCTTCAAAGTAAAGCCAAGATTAGGTCGTCCCAAAAATTGACCGATAGGTGTGAACGCCAAATCCTGGGCTCAGTAAATGCCAATCCTAAAAATTCAGCCCCAAAAATACAAAATGCAAAACAGTTCAGCCTCAAACTGTACGAAATGTGCTCCACAAGGAGGGGTACAACACACGAACACCTCGTAGAAAGGCTTTGATTTCCTTGGTAAATCGAAAAAGAGGCTGGATTTCGCATACAAATATGTAAACGAGCTGGAATCATTTTGGGACATCGTTATCTGGAGTGGTGAGTCAAAATGTAATATTTTTGGTTCAGATGGCTCCCAAAAAATAAGGATGAAGTTTAAAAAATTAACACCAAACGTTAAGCGTGGCGGCGGTAACGTGATGGTCTGGGGGTGTGTTGGGACAGCTGGAGTTGGGAAACTTGTGTTTATAAACACTACAATGGACAAGCATCTATACCTCAAAATTTTAAAGGATAACCTTAAGGACAGCGCGACCCAGCTCCAGTTGAATGAGACTACATTTCTTTTTCAACAGGACAACGACCCTAAACACACCTCCCTATTTGGTCAACGAGTGGCTACTCTACAACTGCAAGCAATTGCATACACCTCCACAGTCTCCAGATCTCAATTCCATTGAGCACGTTTGTAATTTGTTAGATAAAACGCTCAGAAAACACCAAATATAGTCAAAAGAATGGGAAAAAATTGAAAAAAAGGTGTACTTAAACTTTGTATACCACACCTCCTATTTGGTCAACGTATTGGCTACTCTACAACTGCAAGCAATTGCATACACCTCCACAGTCTCCAGATCTCAATTCCATACTTAAACTTTGTATACCTTTGCAGAAAGTATTATGATTTCAGTCAAAAGTTTGCAACGCAGTGAAGGAGACATTGCCGACCCTATAAAGTATATATATTCTTGATCAGCATCACCAGGAGAGTCGATCTGGCCATATCCGTCTGTCTGTCCGTTTCTTCGCAAACTAGTCCCTCAGTTTTAAAGCTGTCTGCTTAAAACTTTCCCAAAAGTTGTCTTTCTATTGCAGGTAGTATATAAGTCGGAAAAGCCGGGCGACTATATCATATAGCTCCCTTAGGAACAATCGGAAAAAAAAATCAAACAAAATTAGAACTTTGTTGTTTTTAATTTTTTTTTTGTTATTTGGGATTTGGTAATATTTAAATATTATGAAATGATGGTTTTAATTATGTTAAAATGGACAACAATATCATATAGCTGCACTAGAACGGATGTCAAAATGCAGTGCAAAATCGACATATTGTTTTTGGTAATATGGGCTTAAAAATCGAAAAGTAGTCGATTTGTAATAACTGCAAGGGTATATAAACTTTGGCTTGCAGAAGTTTGCTTCCTTTTTTGTTTGAAGTATTTTTACGATTTGTTTTTATAATCTTGTTATTTTATATAAAATATGGAAACAAGAAGACTTTTATGTTCTAAAAATATATAACCTACCAAACGGAAATAATTTGAAAATTGTACCTGTTTTAGTTAATATCGTTTTGAGTGCTTTAAGTTGCACAACTATGGTGTACTTAAACGCTTTTTGTCCACTGTATGTACATATGGATCACAACTTACTCGGTATCAAGTTGTTATCAATTTTAAAGTTAATTTGCCGATGGTATCAACAAATCTTAGAAGCAGGTACAGTGGCTTACAGTTTATTTCATGCAGATATTTATGTATGCATATACTTAAATACATTTTAAAGTGTGAATGTTTTGTAGTCCTATATTTTTAAAATACTTGTTTTTGTACATAGAAATTGCACAATTTAATTGCTGTAAATAACATTTAAAGACTGCTACCCAGATTGATGAAATCTGTTCGGCAGCTATGAGAGAGCGAGAGGCAAACAGCTGGCGATCACATTTCGTCAGTCCTTTTGTGCTCCTCGTTACTCATACAGCCTAGTATCCAGATCGACAAAAACCGTACGCCAGTCATGAGAGAGAGCGAGAGGCAAACAGCTGGCTTTTACTTTTCGTCGGGCCTTTTTGTCAAAAATACCAGAAAATTGCATAGCGTTGCCAGTCTGCGGAAATGAACTTTGGGTGAACCCTAGCGAAAAGATTAAAAAAATTTAATCTTTTGGCGTGCGCTTCTCACTGACCATTATAAGATATGGAGGGAAAAACTCAAAAAACTCGGAAAAGTCGATTGCAGGAGTTTACATGTGAGGACAAAATAACATTAATACTATCTGGGGTGCCTCTTGTCAGAGCAAAATGTTTTTTAGGTCAAGAATGTACGAAAAAACACAATAAAAGTGCAGCTATGAACTTTAAATTAGCATATAATTAAAATTTAAATTTAAATTGTTTTGTTTTTTAATTTCTTTGTACAGCGGCAGACTTGTCTTGCCAAGGTATTTGATAATATCTTTTAAAGGCTCCTTCCCGCAAATGCGATATTTGAATTTTAACTGCTTGTCAAGAAACCCAGCTGATTGACAGTACGACCGTTGCACGCTTAAATCTGATGATCTCTCGAAATTTTGGTAACACTGGAAAGATTAAAGTTTTTACGCTAGCATTCTCGTTTGTCGATCTGAGTACTAGGCTTAAGCCCAATGTGGACAGGATAATCGTTAGTTGACTCGATAGGCAAATAGGGGGCAGTGTGTAGAGCACATTAATAGATTCTAACTCGATGGTCCAGCTGAGGATAACTTATATTTCCTAGAAAGATTTTCAAGTTTTCTCCGTAAACCTTTCCAGGAAAAGGTTTAATCCAGCTTTTCTATGTTCTTGGCCATTATATTTATTTTTAAAAGTAGTTATATAAAGTTGTACAAGACTGTGTGAAATAGCTTAAGACAAAAACTTTGTCATTAACGGTAGAAGGTAATTGTTTCTATTTCTAACTTTATTATGTTCAATTATATACATTTTTCAGCTCTCTAGTATATACTTCATGATTGGGTATTATGTGAATCTACTGACAGCAAGCAATAATATCGTACTGCAGTGGAAAATACCCTTAATGAGAATCGATTTAAAAACTTCATTTTAATCGATAGGAGGCGGCTTTCCTTAACTATTTTAACAATATATAAAAGTTTGAATATTATTATGGACATTGAATTGCCGTATGTAGTGGAATATGCCAAAAGTGGGAGAGCCTCTTGTAAAGGATGCAAATGTTCGATTCCCAAAAATAACCTTCGCATCGCTGTTATGGTTCAAGTAAGTTTCTATAGTGGCAGGCATATCTCAGCGTAATCAAGTAAGATTAAAAACAAACTCTACTGAATTTACGCGGGCTTTTAGTTAAAATTTGTTTGATCTCCGTATTGGCACAACCATATCTACACAAACATGCATACCCATGAAATATACTTTTACAGTGGACAAAAAGTTTAAGTACACTTCATACCTCAGTGCTTTTTGTAAAAAATATGTATTGAGACTTATCAAAATAATAATAATTAATAAACGTAATCTTTAGGATTTTGAATATACCAATATATATACTACGTCACTCCTTCGTGAACATTATATTCACAGAAATAAAAAAAAATGGCTAAAAACCCCACCGAAAAAAGTTTACGTACACTCGTCATCTCTCTGTTTCTTTGGAATTTCCCTTCCAAATCTAACGGTGTTCGTGAATTCTTCCTTCAGTCTACTTCTGATGCTTCCCTTTTTATCCATTTTAAGTTCATTTAATTTGATTTTGCTGGAGTGAGAGGTCAAGATGGGTCGAGGAAGCTAAATTCCACTTGAAAAGCTTACATTTATTTTAAAACATTATTTGGAAGGAAAAGAACTTTTGGAGGATGCTTTAGAGGCCTCCATCCAGCGTGTAAACTAATATTAATTCCTACGGGAACTCTGGAACCTTCAAAGTAAAGCCAAGATTAGGTCGTCCCAAAAATTGACCGATAGGTGTGAACGCCAAATCCTGGGCTCAGTAAATGCCAATCCTAAAAATTCAGCACCAAAAATACAAAATGCAAAACAGTTCAGCCTCAAACTGTACGAAATGTGCTCCACAAGGAGGGGTACAACACACGAACACCTCGTAGAAAGGCTTTGATTTCCTTGGTAAATCGAAAAAAGAGGCTGGATTTCGCATACAAATATGTAAACGAGCTGGAATCATTTTGGGACATCGTTATCTGGAGTGGTGAGTCAAAATGTAATATTTTTGGTTCAGATGGCTCCCAAAAAATAAGGATGAAGTTTAAAAAATTAACACCAAACGTTAAGCGTGGCGGCGGTAACGTGATGGTCTGGGGGTGTGTTGGGACAGCTGGAGTTGGGAAACTTGTGTTTATAAACACTACAATGGACAAGCATCTATACCTCAAAATTTTAAAGGATAACCTTAAGGACAGCGCGACCCAGCTCCAGTTGAATGAGACTACATTTCTTTTTCAACAGGACAACGACCCTAAACACACCTCCTCATTTGGTCAACGAGTGGCTACTCTACAACTGCAAGCAATTGCATACACCTCCACAGTCTCCAGATCTCAATTCCATTGAGCACGTTTGTAATTTGTTAGATAAAACGCTCAGAAAACACCAAATATAGTCAAAAGAATGGGAAAAAATTGAAAAAAAGGTGTACTTAAACTTTGTATACCACACCTCCTATTTGGTCAACGTATTGGCTACTCTACAACTGCAAGCAATTGCATACACCTCCACAGTCTCCATCGATCTAATTTACTTAAACTTTGTATACCTTTGCAGAAAGTATTATGATTTCAGTCAAAAGTTTGCAACGCAGTGAAGGAGACATTGCCGACCCTATAAAGTATATATATTCTTGATCAGCATCACCAGGAGAGTCGATCTGGCCATATCCGTCTGTCTGTCCGTTTCTTCGCAAACTAGTCCCTCAGTTTTAAAGCTATCTGCTTAAAACTTTCCCAAAAGTTGTCTTTCTTTCTTATTGTAGAGTAGTATATAAGTCGGAAAAGCCGGGCGACTATATCATATAGCTCCCTTAGGAACAATCGGAAAAAAAAAATCAAACAAAATTAGAACTTTGTTGTTTTTAATTTTTTTTTTGTTATTTGGGATTTGGTAATATTTAAATATTATGAAATGATGGTTTTAATTATGTTAAAATGGACAACAATATCATATAGCTGCACTAGAACGGATGTCAAAATGCAGTGCAAAATCGACATATTGTTTTTGGTAATATGGGCTTAAAAATCGAAAAGTAGTCGATTTGTAATAACTGCAAGGGTATATAAACTTTGGCTTGCAGAAGTTTGCTTCCTTTTTTGTTTGAAGTATTTTTACGATTTGTTTTTATAATCTTGTTATTTTATATAAAATATGGAAACAAGAAGACTTTTATGTTCTAAAAATATATAACCTACCAAACGGAAATAATTTGAAAATTGTACCTGTTTTAGTTAATATCGTTTTGAGTGCTTTAAGTTGCACAACTATGGTGTACTTAAACGCTTTTTGTCCACTGTATGTACATATGGATCACAACTTACTCGGTATCAAGTTGTTATCAATTTTAAAGTTAATTTGCCGATGGTATCAACAAATCTTAGAAGCAGGTACAGTGGCTTACAGTTTATTTCATGCAGATATTTATGTATGCATATACTTAAATACATTTTAAAGTGTGAATGTTTTGTAGTCCTATATGTCCTATAGTCCTAAAAATACTTGTTTTTGTACATAGAAATTGCACAATTTAATTGCTGTAAATAACATTTAAAGACTGCTACCCAGATTGATGAAATCTGTTCGGCAGCTATGAGAGAGCGAGAGGCAAACAGCTGGCGATCACATTTCGTCAGTCCTTTTGTGCTCCTCGTTACCCATACAGCCTAGTATCCAGATCGACAAAAACCGTACGCCAGTCATGAGAGAGAGCGAGAGGCAAACAGCTGGCTTTTACTTTTCGTCGGGCCTTTTTGTCAAAAATACCAGAAAATTGCATAGCGTTGCCAGTCTGCGGAAATGAACTTTGGGTGAACCCTAGCGAAAAGATTAAAAAATTTAATCTTTTGGCGTGCGCTTCTCACTGACCATTATAAGATATGGAGGAAAAACTCAAAAAACTCGGAAAAGTCGATTGCAGGAGTTTACATGTGAGGACAAAATAACATTAATACTATCTGGGGTGCCTCTTGTCAGAGCAAAATGTTTTTTAGGTCAAGAATGTACGAAAAAACACAATAAAAGTGCAGCTATGAACTTTAAATTAGCAAATAATTATCAGTAAATTAAAAAAACAACTGTTAAATTTAAATTGTTTTGTTTTTTAATTTCTTTGTACAGCGGCAGACTTGTCTTGCCAAGGTATTTGATAATATCTTTTAAAGGCTCTTTCCCGCAAATACGATATTTGAATTTTAACTGCTTGTCAAGAAACCCAGCTGATTGACAGTACGACCGTTGCACGCTTAAATCTGATGATCTCTCGAAATTTTGGTAACACTGGAAAGATTAAAGTTTTTACGCTAGCATTCTCGTTTGCCGATCTGAGTACTAGGCTTAAGCCCAATGTGGACAGGATAATCGTTAGTTGACTCGATAGGCAAATAGGGGGCAGTGTGTAGAGCACATTAATAGATTCTAACTCGATGGTCCAGCTGAGGATAACTTATATTTCCTAGAAAGATTTTCAAGTTTTCTCCGTAAACCTTTCCAGAAAAAGGTTTAATCCAGATTTTCTATGTTCTTGGCCATTTTATTTATTTTTAAAAGTAGTTATATAAAGTTGTACAAGACTGTGTGAAATAGCTTAAGACAAAAACTTTGTCATTAACTGTAGAAGGTAATTGTTTCTATTTCTAACTTTATTATGTTCAATTATATACATTTTTCAGCTCTCTAGTATATACTTCATGATTGGGTATTATGTGAATCTACTGACAGCATATATCGTACTGCAGTGGAAAATACCCTTAATGAGAATCGATTTAAAAACTTCATTTTAATCGATAGGAGGCGGCTTTCCTTAACTATTTTAACAATATATAAAAGTTTGAATATTATTATGGACATTGAATTGCCGTATGTAGTGGAATATGCCAAAAGTGGGAGAGCCTCTTGTAAAGGATGCAAATGTTCGATTCCCAAAAATAGCCTTCGCATCGCTGTTATGGTTCAAGTAAGTTTCTATAGTGGCAGGCATATCTCAGCGTAATCAAGTAAGATTAAAAACAAACTCTACTGAATTTACGCGGTCTTTTAGTTAAAATTTGTTTGATCTCCGTATTGGCACAACCATATCTACACAAACATGCATACCCATGAAATATACTTTTACAGTGGACCAAAAAGTTTAAGTACACTTCATACCTCAGTGCTTTTTGTAAAAAATATGTATTGAGACTTATCAAAATAATAATAATTAATAAACGTAATCTTTAGGATTTCGAATATACCAATATATATACTACGTCACTCCTTCGTGAACATTATATTCACAGAAATAAAAAAAAATGGCTAAAAACCCCATCGAAAAAAGTTTACGTACACTCGTCATCTCTCTGTTTTTTTTGGAATTTCCCTTCCAAATCTAACGGTGTTCGTGAATTCTTCCTTCAGTCTACTTCTGATGCTTCCATTTTTATCCATTTTAAGTTCATTTAATTTGATTTTGCTGGAGTTGAGAGGTCAAGATGGGTCGAGGAAGCTAAATTCCACTTGAAACGCTTAAATTTATTTTAAAACATTATTTGGAAGGAAAAGGACTTGTCTTTAGAGGCCTCCATCCAGCGTGTAAACTAATATTAATTCCTACGGGAACTCTGGAACCTTCAAAGTAAAGCCAAGATTAGGTCGTCCCAAAAATTGACCGATAGGTGTGAACGCCAAATCCTGGGCTCAGTAAATGCCAATCCTAAAAATTCAGCCCCAAAAATACAAAATGCAAAACAGTTCAGCCTCAAACTGTACGAAATGTGCTCCACAAGGAGGGGTACAACACACGAACACCTCGTAGAAAGGCTTTGATTTCCTTGGTAAATCGAAAAAGAGGCTGGATTTCGCATACAAATATGTAAACGAGCTGGAATCATTTTGGGACATCGTTATCTGGAGTGGTGAGTCAAAATGTAATATTTTTGGTTCAGATGGCTCCCAAAAAATAAGGATGAAGTTTAAAAAATTAACACCAAACGTTAAGCGTGGCGGCGGTAACGTGATGGTCTGGGGGTGTGTTGGGACAGCTGGAGTTGGGAAACTTGTGTTTA